CTGGGGGTGATCTTGCTGTGGCTTGGTGTGGGTGGAGGTTGGGTTGGGTGGCTGGGCATGGCTGGGTCATGGCTGGGCAGGGGGTTCGGCTCTGGGTGAGCTGCTTAACCCAGCAAAACAGATGAAAACAGAGAGGAAGATAAAAGCCCAGCAGAAAACATGAGAGAAAGAGAGAGGGGGGCAAAAACCCTGAAAAATTGGTTCAACCGGTATCAGGGCCGGGAAGTCAACGCAGGTCCAGCCCGGGGCCCCCTGCAGGCTCAGAGGCCATGGCCACCGAGGGACCGCGGACTGCGTGGCTGGAGATGGACGCGAGCGGGGAAGGACCAGCCTGAGCCCAGCGGCTGGAGAGGGTGAGGCGAGAGTGGGCGGGGCAGGCATCACAGCAAAGTCACCCGCGGTGCCCCGGGGACCTGCTGCTTTCAACTCTTAGCTGGTGGTTGCACTGGAGGGAGGTGCTTCATACCTGCCCGGCTTGGAGGGTCTCTCAGAATCTGCTCATGATTTGGCCTTGGTTTGGCAAATTAGGGCCCTGTAGGTGGTGGTGCCAGCGGTGGTGGTGACGTTGTGGCAGGCTGAGGCCCAGTGCCCCCGAGGCCACTGGGGTACGAGGGCAGGATGAGGCCCCGGGCTCCCGGGTGCGGTGGACACGGTGGCTGGGCGGTGGGCAGTGGGCGGTGGGCGGCAGCCACCAGCTCCAGGAGCCACCTCCGGGCACCTGTCCCGGGCAGTCCAGACTCTCGCCTCAGGCCAGGGAGGGACCCGTGGGGCTGGTCAGGGCAGAGTCCGTAGCCCACAACTTGTCCTTCAGCCACACTCCCGGACAGAGGAGCCCGGTCGTTGTTATGCGCTGCGTGGAGTCCCGAGTGCAGGCTGCTCTTCACAGCCGCGCCGGGCTGAGCGCCCACCGTCACCCTTTGAAGGAGCAGGACGTCGAGTGGCTGCCTCATGACACAGTGGCAGGGCCAGCGCTGGACCCTGGGCCACGTCCGTCCGGTTCCCAGCCGCCCAGCGCAGCCTCGCGTCCTGGACACACGGTCGTCGGCTTAGTTCTGTAGCAACGGTGTTGCTCTCGCTGCTGTGGGCGATGAGCCGCCTTCGTGGGCTGCTGTCCATTCTAAAGCCCATTCCTGCCCCGGAGGGGCGCTGCTCTTTCCTGGGCTGTCCAGCTGGCTGCTTTGGGGAGGAAGGCGCCCAGGAGGAGCCCGTCCCCGGCCTGGGCCCACCTGCCTCGGCTTCCCCAAGGTCCTCTGCTCCAGCCCCGGGGAAGAGGGCAGGGCACACGGGGAGGAGGGGAGGTGAGTGAGAGGGACAGGAAAGGCAGGAAGGAGGAGGAGCATGGAAGGAAAGCGCCCAGGACACTGCCCAGCTCAGCAGCAAGGGCTGGTGGGGAGTTTGCAGACGGCTGGCCAGGCCGGACAGGGCAGGCAGACGGGAAAGGCTGCCCGAGCACGGGGCCTGGCATCTGCCCAGCCCTGTGGTTCACGGAGACCGGAGGGCCATGGAGCTTCCGCCCCGTGGCTGCCAGACCCGCCCAGACTTCCCTCTGCGCCTGCCCTGCTGCAGAGGCGCGGGAGAGCCCTGCCCGTGACCCGCGGCCTGGGACTGGGGTTGGAGCTGTCCACAGGCCTGGCCGGCAGGTCCTAGGGGAGAGGCCAGTTCAGGGAGAAAAGCCGTCCCCCCACCCACTCTCCAGCCCTTCACTTTCTTGGAAACACACGGCCCTGCTTCCCACTCCCGGCGCCGCAGGGAGAGGTGAGCCGAGTGGATGGAGCTCAGACCACAGGGGTGGCCACTCAGACCGTGAACGGCGGCTTGGAAAGCACAGTGGACCAAGGGGACAGTGACACGGGGGCCGGGGCAGCCCCGTGTGCACAGCACAGGCATCGAGAGGGCAGCCCGGAGCCACCCTGGGCTGTGGTGCGGCCAGAGAGTCGGGTCCAAGCACAACATGGGGTGCACGTCTCTCCTCCGCCCACCCCCCACGCCGGAGATGCCACAACCTGCCGCGGTCACTCATGAAGACGGCGCCACCAGAAAGAGCTGCACGGCTGAGGCCCCACCACCTCCCCCAGGACAAGGCAGGGCTGGGGGGCTTTGCTGAACCCCAACTCGGGGTGCAGCTGGGCCTGAAGGAGGAAGGGCACGGTGGACACGCCAGCCTGTGGTGCGAGTCCGGACCACCCACCCGGGCGGCGGCTTCGGCCCCCATCTGCCAAAAGCCCCTTGGTGTGTTGGTCCCTCAGGACGGCGGCTGCTTCCCCCATAGCACTGCACCCCGTAGCGCCCTCCCCTCGGCCCATCAGATCTTCACCGCAGCTGGGGGACCAGCAGGCAGGACTGATGAGGAAACTGACCCAGAGAGGACAGGCCCCCCCATGACGCAGGCCTCCCTCCAACCTCAGGGCTGCCCGAGAGGCTCGGGGCTTAGGGCCTGTGCGTGCTGCAGACAGAGGAGCTGACCAATGCCACGGGCGTGACCCCACAGCCCAGGAGCCCCACCCCTAGGAGGTGCTGTGGGCTTGTCTCGGCGCCCTCGGGGGTGGACCACACCAGCACCCACTTCCCTGGCAGCCTGTGCGAGCAGGCCCCCCGCCCTGTGGGCTGGAGACCAGACGGGGACTCTCAGTGGACCCCCAGGTCAGGACAACCACCAACTCGGCGCGGCCGTGCCAGGAACCTTCACCTGGCGCTCTAGTCCATCGCCAGTGACCCCACAGGTAGGTACTACTGTTGCCCCCCCGTCCCCCCCACTTCGGCAGGTAACAGTAACGGAGGCGGAGAGGGTGCTGCCTGCATTTGGCAGCAAACCAGGACTAGGACCAGAGCGACGCAGCACCCTCGCCAGCTGAGCGACCCCTGCTGAGGCCAGATGGCCACTCTGAGGCCCCAGATGGGACACGATGCACATCAGAGGCAGGAACCTGGGCTGGTCTCCTCCAGAGGTGCCCGCCGCCCTGCCCTCCTCCCTGCCTGCCGCCTACCCCGCAGGCCTCTCCGGGCAGCAGCCCAGCCAACCTCAGAGACGGCCGTCAGGCCTAAGAACCGCTGTTTCTGTCTCACGCACATTCTTGCCAGACACCCGCCCCCTGCCCCCCGATTCTTCTAGGACTGACTTGCTTTGGGCCTGGCCCTGCTGCCCTCAGACTCTGCCCTGTTTACTGGAGAGGCACTCACTTGCCTGAGACCCAGAGTCGGGGGG